TGCCTTCCCGACATTTTTTATTAGTGCCCCGAGGTAGGTTTAGACACTCATTTTCTTTATTTTTTGTGTTTTTCACTCATCGGCTGATTTTGTTTGTACCCTAAAATTTTAAGGGTCAATAATAAACAGTCAGTCACTTGACACCCAGATTAACCAATAAAATTTTTTAATAAAAATAAATTCAATAAACATTCAGTCATTTGACACCATATTAACCAATAGAATTTTTTGACAAAATCCTCATACATAGCTGCACCCTTCGCACGCACTATGTATACCCTCTCTAAATGCACACTAATCTTCAGTCCCAAGCACATAGAGCACTTAATAAAATGCCCTCCATAAATGCACACCCTCTCTAAATGCACATTTTTAAAAATTTTGTCTATGGTCCCAAGGGGGGTGCATTTACGGAGGGTTGACTGTATTAGAGTAAGTAAAGTGATCGTCCAAGCATTTTTATACTTTTGTTTGGATTTTCGTCATCGACACTACTATTATTTGGTTTTTTTTGTTCCTACTATTATGCTACATAGAATCTATAAAAACTACTCGAGTGTTGAGGTTCTTATTCTAGCGATTGAGCATTAAAATTACTAGCGTCAAACTATTTTTTTTTTTGCATCCGCATTTCAAAGAGTAAATAAAGTGAATTTCAAGCATTATACTTTTTTGGATTTTCGATATCAATACTATTATTATTCGGTGGGGTTTTTTTTTCTATTATTATGCTACATAGAATCGATTAAAACTACTCAAGCATTGATCGATATTCTTATTTTGATCTATCCAAGCGCCGGTCAACTTTTTGTATCAATCCGTTTTTTTTTTTGCTCCGGCATTTCAAAGCTTCATAGCTATTAGAGTAAGTGATTGTTCAAGTATTTTCATACTTTTTGTTTTAGTTATCAATACTAACTACTATTATGCTACATAGAATCAATAAAAATGTACATAAGGCATTCATATCAAATATCAGCAAAGACGGGGATGCTGTTGGAACAATTGCACTCGACAACTGTTACAATGGTGAAACTGGAGACGAAAATAATGAATAAGACATTAATTTATTATCAAATATCAGCAGAGATGGGGACGTTAATGGAACATATAATGTTGGATATTATTATCCTAATGGTTCAGGAAGCTTTTTTTGAATAATTTTAACTGGTTTTTCTCTTTATCAAAGAATTAGTGCCAGAATTGATTGAGGTTCTTATTTTGATCCTGGCAATTGAGCATCATTAAAATTACTTGTGCCGGTCAACAAACTTTTTGCCCCAACCTATTTTTTTTTTTTTTTTTTTTTTGCGCCGGCATTTCAAAGTTTCATAGCTATTAGAATAAGTGATTGTTCAAGCACTTTCATACTTTATGTTTTAGTTATCGACACTAAATACTATTATGTTACATAGAATCGACGAAAATGTGCATAAGGCATTCATATCAAATATCAGCAAAGAAGGGGTGCTGATGAAATAATTCACTTGACAACTGTTACGAGGATGGAGCTGGAAACAAAAAGGATGAATATAAGGCATTAATTTATTATCAAATATCAGAAGGGATGAGGACATTAATGGAACATATAATGTTGGATATTATTATCCTAATGGGTCTTCCGAGTTCAGGAAAGTTTTTTTTTCATTTTCATTTTTTTTTTTTAATAATTTAACTGGTTTTCCTCTCTTTTCCGGAGAATTAGTGCCAGAATTGATTAAGGTTCTTATTTTGCTTCTAGCAATTGAGAATTACTAAAATTACTAGCAATTCACTTGTGCCGATCAACAAACTTTTTACATCAACCTTTTTTTTTTTTTTTTGCGCCGGCATTTTAAAGTTTCATAGTTATTAGAGTAAGTGATTATTCAAGCACTTTCATACTTTTTGTTTTAGTTATCGACACTAAATACTATTATACTACATAGAATCGATAAAAGTATATAAAGCGTTCATATCAAATATTTGCAAAGACGAGGATGCTGATGGAATAATTGCACTTGACAACTGTTACAAGGATGGAACTGGAAACAAAAAGGATGAGTATAAGGCATTCATTTATTATCAAATATCAGCAGAGATGGGGATGTTAATAGAGCATATGAGTACCGCAGCTAGTACCGCTAAGGGAAAACCTCAAACCGGGAATTTAAGTATATTATTTATTATTTGCTAGATTCAGCCGTGATCCGAAACATATGCGATACGGTGTCATGGGTATAAGCAGAAATTTTATTTCCGCTTATACACATAGAACCCAGCATATAACTATTACTTGCGTATCTTACGTATCACATATGTTTTGGATCACGGCTGAATCTAACAGATAATAAATAATATTACATACTTAAATTCCCGGTTCAAAGTTTTCCCTTAGCGGCACTCATACAATGTTGGATATTATCATCCTAATGGGTCTTCAGAGTTCAGGAAATTTTTTTTCACTTTCATTTTTTTAATAATTTTAACTGATTTTTCTTCTTGATCAGAGAATTAGTGCCAGAATTGAATGAGGTTCTTATTTTGATCTATTCTATTCTAGCAATTGAGCATCACAAAATTACTAGCAAATCACTTGTGCCGGTCAACAAACTTTTTGTACCAAACCTTCTTTTTTTGTGCTGGCGTTTCAAAGCTTCATAACTAGCAATTGCACACCACTAAAATTATTAGCAAATTACATTAGGAGTGATACTTGTGCAATTGCGTATATAAAATAATTTTAGAAAATTTCTTAGTATATAATTTTTATTTATTAAAAAATTTATTAATAAATCTTTTTTTTAAACAACTTAGAATTTTTATTTTCACATAATTAAATCCGATTGGTCAACCCCAGGTTACAATGATGACGTTATTATAAAATACTATTACACTCTTTTTTTATCTATAGTATGAAATAAAAATATCCTGAGTCCAAAGCACTCTATAAGGCATGTTCAGGAGTTTTGTGTTCTAACTTCTGAACTTTATTTTGTTACAGTATAAATTCTTTGTTTTGAAGCGCACACTATTCATAAGCGCACACTATTCATAACGTATATCCATTGGAGATGTCTAATCTTTTATTAACACATAAAGAATACCATTGCAATCCTATAAGATATAAAATCAAAGGTCGCACCTTTTGGTATACAATATGTAACAAAGGTGTTTTTCCTGCTGTATCAAACATTAAATATACGAAAGCACCAAAAAGATATGCTATTCCTGATAATTTTAGTATTGTTACAACGTGGGGCAAATCATCAAGTCTAAATACCGTTAA